TTACACTGATTAGCTATGTTTTATAGTGTTAAATTGCACAGCAACAAGAGTCATCACGTGAACTACAATGTGACTGACTGTAAACATGAGAATAGCTTTCAACAAATCTTGATTTTAGCACAAATAATTTACCTCTTGGGTTTGGGGAGAATGAATCATTTAGGGCTTCATGCAAAGGCCAGCCATAGTTCACAAAGTCTGGATACCAATAGTGATGTAAAACAATTCTGGATCCACATAACCAGAAGTTAAGTCAAGATGATAGCACCTACATTAGAAAACATTGACGGGCAAAGTCTCATGTAGTCGCCATCCGCTCCTGTTTGAATCCAGCCAGTGTTGGTGATGGTTGCATTTCACTGGGGAGGTACAGTAAGAGGAACAGGCTACATAGGTTTAATTGTGCTGCACCTGGTCATAGTTTGTAATCATTAGCCTCTTGTCCAGGCACATGAGACAAACTAGAGCTTAGCGCTGCTAGCATTCAGGTGTCAGGGGCGTTATAGCACCCCCGCCTCTCTCTCCAAGACCTTTTAAAATAAACAGACTCAACATTTCTGGAAATAAGTGGAATTTGAAGTTTATCCTGGGTCTAAACAACAGTTTTAGATATTATGCAATAAACAACATTTAACAGTGACTGATTCTACTTATGCTGCATATCTCAGCAAATTTCTGTGCACAAGGACCCTTAGACTTTGATTATTTAATAGATGTTCAGCAACTGCTGCCCAGCCTTTCTCGGCAGTCACAGAACCAGGAGCACTCTCTGGTGAAGCCTGAACCTCAGCAAGTTGGACACTTGACCATTTGTGTGCGAGGGTGTACACACAAGTGTATTTGAGACAGGAACGTTATGAAGTTACACAGGAAGTGGCAATAATGCGCGATCAGGAGCTGGTAATTACAGGTCTGTGTGTACTATGTGTATGGAAATGTGTGTGTGTGTGTGTGTGTGTGTGTGTGTGTGTGTGTGTATGTGTGTGTGTGTGTGTGTGTGTGGAAGAGAAGATGCCAAATTGCATCAGGGGTTTCAGCTGCAGTTGCCCTGTCCAAACAAACTACACAGCAATGAAACCACAGAGAAGGTATCTTGAGAATAATACATTCATACGCCCTCGCAAACCTTTCTTTCATGTTTTTCCACATAACCTCAATAGGCCTTTCAGTTTCTGCTCGTAAAAGTTAAGGGAAAGCCTGGGCAGAGGTGTCAAATGCACTGTCAGACACACCCAAAACAGAGAGGTGAAAAATTAAGACAACAGTTTGCCTTTCTTAGGTGCCACACAGCCGTGGTTTGTAGTAGGAAACTTGCGTTTGTCTATTTCTGAGATGTTTCAGTGCTCGACCAGCCACTTTGATACATAAGAAACTACTGACAGGAAGTCCTTCTCTACTATGGTATGCTATAGAATTAAAAATGAAAATGAGCTATGTAAGTTCATTTTCAGGCAGCCTAGGTCATCTCGTTTTGCAAAATTCATCAATCACAGTCATTTTCAGGGGAGTCTCAGGAACCTATTATGTATAATAAACATTGTTTAAAAGGCAGCTAGAAAGACACCAAGGGCTTAAATCGTAGAGACAAAAATGAAATTAGCAGGCATGTTATGTGACCTTTTTTCTTATTATCCACTGATCTGTAGATTATTCTCTCAATTAAAAAATGTATTTAGTCTGTAAAATGTTATCATTTTTTGAAAAAGCTGTCTTCTGATAAAACCTGAGCAACAAATCCACACCTATCCCAAGGCTTCATAAGTCCAAGTCATGTGTGCTTAGAGACATGAGTAAAAAGGAGAGAGTCTGGAGGAAGACGGCAAAGAGATCTGGAGTTTCTTGTGAGCTCTAAGGGCAGTCGGAGGTTGATCAGTCACACAAACACAGACGGCTGTGCAGTCGTTGCTGGACAGCTGTGGTCAGAAACTGTGTCAATTCACACTACAAAGAAAGGGGAAAAGTTCTATTGTGTTATATTTGATTTTCAAGGCATACTGACCCGAAATACGCCACATGCTGAATACATGTATCCTTACTGCCCCACACCAGCACAGCCTAACACCTAAGGTCCTTGCACTATGAATGCCTTGTTAGTACATGTGAAACTGACAATAGGGAGCACATAAGCAACACTATGAAAAAACGCTGGCATTTTAATGCCTTCTCTCTTCTACCTCACTGAAACAAGGCCAAAAACGGTGCCCACTGTCTGACCCACTTTCCGTGACAGACATAATCTCCCTCCCCAAACTTCAGCCGGTTTACCAGCCCGGCAGAGAGCAAGCCGGACCAGGAGGAGGGTGCCAAGCTCCTCACACACAGCAGGGGGAAAGCTGCTGTGCAGCTTACACCCACGGACCCCCGCTGAGCTCACAGGCCCTCCCTGATGGAGCCACACAGCCCAAGACGCATTCAGACAAAAAAGACAAACAAAAACACAAGTCTCCATTCATGACGAGCACACTGCACACATCATTAAGGTTTAAGAGGGTGTGAACACACACAGGCGTTTGGCATATTAATTTGGTTGTTTGAACAGCAAACATACTCATTCAGCATCGAGATGTTAACCACCAACTGCTGGCATGATCGTTACAGCTTTTATCTGTTTCTATTGAGCAGACACACACACACACACAGTTCTCAGCTCAGTCTACAGAGCAAACTGCTGAATGCATTCATTCAAAATATAAATTACTGCTTTTATTCCACCTTCAATAGTTTCTTCCTCAACCTGTCTCGGTGGCGTACTGAAGGTTTTTTTCTGCCCTCATTTCAAATTCAGCTGCTAGATGCACACACGACACAGTGTAATGTAAAGGTGATTAAAATCACTACTAGCCCATGCGCTGTTGTAGTGGATTTGGCAAATTTGCAAAATGTCTTTAGAAACAGCAGGAGTTGGACACATTTGGACAACATGAGGTGCTCAACACACCCACACACAAAACACGAGCCATGTAAAACCTGGGATAATCTATGAAAATCTGTTCTACACAACTCTTTTAGCGGTCAACCAAATTAAGACAAAAGGTTTGTTTCTTAAAGGAGTAAATCCAATTTTCTAAACATTTTCCAGTTGCTCTACAACAACATTTTGGAAAAGTGGAAATGAGCTTCAGCTATGATAAATGATCTTATGCATATTATAGAAAGTATATTTCATAACAAAATCCTGTCTTGGTGCCACTGCAGCAAAATCCCCAAATGGATATAAATGCACTAACAATGCAATGGTAAGCACTTCTGTCATTCTGTTTAAAGGAGTTTTATAGTGCTACTGTGTGTCAGATGCTTCTTAGCCTAAAATCTTTAGCTGAAATAGAAGCATTTGATAAAATGCAGGTCACTCAGAGCAGGCAGAGACTGAGAGGCCTCTGTGGGTCCCTACAGAGCAGGTTATGGAGGATACAGGCAGCACTGAGCCTCCATTAAGACATCAGAGCTCTCTGTGCGTGTCCGCCTGATACCATCGGCTCTGGTTTCTTCCCTGAAAATGAGACTCCAGTCTAAACCATACTGGAGAACACACTAGCACACACTAGGCCTGCAGCCAACACACCCAATGCACAAGTGCAAACGTACAACGCGCACTGTACACTCTCCCCGTTACATGGCAAACGCTGCGTCCCCAGCACTTCACAGTAGACGTTATCACCATTTATAGGACTGTGAGAATGCAGACTTTAAATAGTCTGCACAAAAATATAACAAAGATTCTTCATTATAACAGGGAGGCACTGTTTCAGCAGGTATCAGTGTTGCAACCTGACTCTTGCACAGCTCTCTACACCAGATGCAGCTCTGTTATGGTCACTGTTGGACTCAGACTGTTCAGTGTAGTCTGCCACAGACGTTATGAGTGCAGAAAACTGATAATTGGAGCAGTGTACTTTGCATGCATATAGTTCCTACTGTAAATTTGCTGGACTATGCATCATTCCACAGCTTTATGTTTTGAACCTATTCAGATGAACACACAAATACATTTCTTCACCTCTTTGTTTTCTATGATCTTCGTTAGCGTTCAAAATCAACAGCAAAACCTACTTAAAATGTTCTATTACCTTGAGCTCACTCTCACCCTGCTGCACTGCTCATGGAACAGCTGTAGGACTTAAAAGGCAGATGCAACAAGTAAGCAGGTGCAAGGTTTAGGTATCAAATGCAGGCAACTATTATCTGACAGTCCTGTTCTAATACATCACATTTACACATAACAAATCAGTACTGCTGGGATAGTAAATGGACAGTCACTGACAAGATGAAAAGCACCGGTAAATACACTTTAAAAAGGAACTCCGGATTAATCAGCACACTGACAGACAATGGAAATAATTCCAGAGGGATCCTGTTGGAGCAGCTGGTGCTAATGCATGGCTGTCTTTACCATGGCATGTCCAACACGCAGACTGGAAGTCAGTAAGATCTCTGTCAGCAACAAAACTTCAACCACACCATTGCTTACTGGTATGGAGAGAAGGGGACGGGCAGCGCAGGAGGAAGAGGGAACAGAGGCACAAAGAGATTGGGGGTAAGTCATTAACTGGCATATAAGATTTATGGCATAAGTCCGTGCATTTGCTTAATTCCCATATCAGGCAATGTTCCCTTTCTCACCCCTTCTCCCTCACAGGTCAGCATGCAGACTACAGTCATTGTCCACCAGAGGCTTTATCTTTATAGAGCTCCTGATTTCCACTGAGATACAACAAAGACCGAGTCAAAACAGGTGTCTGTGTGTGTTGCAGAGCACTGGCCAGAGATCAGTACTTTCCAGCTGCAGCGCTCACAGCACAAGCCCTGGGATGGGATGCCGGACTTACCTCCTGAGGTAAAGCAGCGTTAGAAAATGATCAGTCCACAGTCACAGAGCCGTCGGCAGGACAAAGCAGGTGACGGTTAATAACAGACAACTAGCTGCTAGCGCTGAATTAGCTTGTTAACGTTGGTATTCAGTATCAGTAATAGTGAGCAGGAGCTTATAAACATGTACTTACTGCGACGTGAATGATGAAGTCTTTTTATTGTCCTGTGTCTGAATGATGAAGTCTTTTTATTGTCCTGTGTCTTCGCTGTGGATGTCTGTAGTGTGGGGCTGCCTGGCTTTCCCAACTTGCTGAGGCTAACTAGCTAGCTAACGCTCAACCGGCACAGAAAAGGAAATTTCGTCTTAATTTCTCCCCTTCTAGACTGATTTACACAAAATAAAGAAGAAGAAAAAAGAAAACGTATAAATGAAAGCCAGTGAGGGCTTATGGTATTCCTCCCCTCCTAAAGTTATGAGTTACAAATGCACACCGTAAGATAAAATAACCACTGCGTTTTATTTAAGATGACACAGGCACTCCAGCGTGCGCTGTCCTTTGTTGTAAGCATCTCAACGTAAACACAGAGCTGACCCTTTCTGTCTTGGAGTGTACGCTGTAGGAGGAGACGTAGAGGAGGGGGGCACCACAGACGCCACCGCAAAGGATTCTGGAACTTGTAGTATTACTCTGTGCAATACCATAGTGTAAAAATACCCTGTTAACAGCCCTGCATTCAAAATGTTACATAGGACAAAGGTATTCATCAAAATATAGGCTACTTGAAATACCAAAATGCTGAGATAAGATAAGACGAGATAGTTTTTATTCTCATTGCACAGTCTCTTATACAATGAAATTGAAAGTGCCTCATCTGAAGTGCATTGAATAAAATCAAATAAACAAGTAAAAACAGGAATAAGCAAACCTCACTCAAGCAAGTACTTATGATGTCACAATAAAAACAAATATGAAATAGTGAAAGTATTGCACATGTTGGATATCACTATATGTGTTCACTAAAACCTTTGAACATGTTATCTGGAAAATATTTGGAGGGATATTAGTGGCTCAAGTCTTATGGTTATACTGTGTTTTGTTTTACTCATGTGAAAAGTAAGTAAGGTAATAAAACAAATATAGTGCAGTAAAAACCATAGTATTTGCTTCTAAAGTGTAGTGAAGTCAAAGTATGAAGTAGCAGCACATCAAAATACTCATGTAAAATTCAAATACCTCAAAACTGTTCAGTGCTTGAGTAATTGTAAATGTAGTTATTTTCCACCACTGAAAATAAGAGTATCACACTGTGGTTTAACAGTGTTTTGATTTGACATAGCTAACCAACCTTGAACACCAATAAGACGTTCAGTGGCTCCACTTTGAACTTTGATGTGAATCTGTGAGTTTCAGGCTTCATGTGTGACTCTCTCTCCTTCATATGCACTTTCATTCAAAACATAACATGGGTGTTGACATCTTCCACCTGGGTGGACCCAACTGGAATGAAATGTGTTGCTTCATCTTTATTTTCATCTTTGTTTCCACAGTGCTGCATGCCTTATTTCTCCTCTTTATTCCTGTTTGTGTATGTCTGAATAGTGCAAGTGTGTGGGTGTTACTGTAGTATTTTTAGTTTGTTTTAGAAACATATTATTGAAGGCATTACCTATTTAAAGTTTAATTTTGATCCCGCATGGTGCATATACAGTATGTAATACAACTGACCAATTAACAAATTAAAGGTGAGACATACAGTAAGTGATGCAACCTGTGAGTTGATAAATGTAACAGGCGATGAAGATGAAATGAAGCCTGATGTCATTCACAAGTCTCACAGCTTCTGCAGTAAATCATTCATACGACCTTTGTCCTCCAAAGACTTGAGAAGTGTATCTGTCCCATACAGATGTGGAGCAAACATCAGCACTGCAGTGCTGCTCCTGCTATGCACACATAATACCTGGAAGATCAGCTTGAATCTCCAGTTTTTGAGACATTGTGTATGTATATTTGTCTGTGTGTGTATTTGTTATGAGTGGGAGACAACTCCTTCAGTGTGAAAGCGAGTGGAAAAATTAGGCAAAGCCAAGAACAGATTAAATAGGACTTCCCTGGTGGTAATCACAGAGACAGGTTTATTTCTGTACCGCTGAGATGGTATAAAACACTTATATTTGCTAATAAAATACACATTTATGGACTACACTGAGCGCCACAAGTGAGTAGTGGGTGTTGAAAAGTGTTTTTCAACAAGCTGCAGAACCTGAAAAAAGACTTTGCTTGAAGAAACTTAAAATACCATGTGTGCATGTTCACACGGAAACAGATGTATGCACACATCTTACACAATCTTTGCACACTTTTTAATCTGTGTTTGAACCCTCCTGTTTACGTTGCTATGGTCACAACACCAACACCTCTCCAGGACAGCAGACACACTTTCCTTTGATTCAGTGTGTAGAAGCACTGCAGCCAGTTCTCTTCACTCCTGGTGGATGTTTTGACGAGTTCTTCTCTTTCCAGCAGCTAATGGGGCTGCACTTCTGTGTGAAGTGTCAGGAAATAATTAAAAATGCAGACACACACACGGTGCATGTGGTCTGATTACAACACTCAGGTGCACGGTGGATTCAGCCAGCACTTGTGTGCTTGTCTCCAAAACATGTTGCTGGACGAGGTTTTAGCTGCATTTGATCTGCTGCAGGTGGATTTCTTTCTTTTTTTTTTTTTACCTGCAATGAATTTTTACCACATTTACTGTACTTCTTTATGTAAGCACTTACATAAGGAGTTTATAAAGTGCTACCAGAAGAAATAAAAACAGGAAATATGAGATATATAATAAAATAGATAAAGTAAAACATACTTAAAATAAACAAATGAGGAAATTCAAAAAGATTTTACAGAAGCAATACAAAAATATGTTTTAGAGAATGATGTCAAACCCATTACTGTCCTCTTGTGTTCATTTTCATTATTTAATGTCAACAATAAAAGTTGCACCACATTAGCTGGTTTAAAAAAATGAATTTTTACCACATTTACTGTACTTCTTTATGTAAGCACTTACATAAGGAGTTTATAAAGTGCTACCAGAAGAAATAAAAACAGGAAATATGAGATATATAATAAAATAGATACAGTAAAACATACTTAAAATAAACAAATGAGGAAATTCAAAAAGATTTTACAGAAGCAATACAAAAATATGTTTTAGAGAATGATGTCAAACCCATTACTGTCCTCTTGTGTTCATTTTCATTTTTTTAATGTCAACAATAAAAGTTGCACCAGATTAGCTGTTTTTTTTTAAAAATTACTTATTATAAAATGATTTTTCAAGGTTTATGAAACACTTCAAAACAAAAAGTTACATACGTGCGTCATGCAAGAATATATATATTATGACAAGGATGAATAATAGTAGTAATAACATTCAACCAAGTTTTAAAAAATTTATTGGAAAATGTTTAGAACTTTGCGTCATTATTTTTGAAACCCAAAGCTAAAGCAATCAGACAATCTAAAGAGCCTGAAGAGGAACTTCGGCTGCAGTTCACCTAAGTGCAGATGTCTGCAAGGACCATTTAACCTAACCATTTTAATGAAGTTTAAATTGTAACCAGGCCTGCAGAAAGGTACTCTCTAGGGTCTGTGTTTAAGATGCAACCTCATCTTCTGCATTTTGATTAAACTGGAGATGAAAAGTTGCTTCTGTCTGCAGAGGGTGAACATAAAATGGGGTCTGAAGTACAGCATCTCCGTCACAGCTGAGTTTTATCCTAAAACAACTCACACCATGTCTCAGTATTAACAAGTGTAATTGTTATTAAAACAGTGGGTTTCTGCAGTATCTGTGCTTGGGAGCACACAGGTCTGCTGCTAAATAGAGGCTGACCTGTGAGACAGTCTGTGTAGCAACAAGTACACTGTGAACTCACTAAACTGTTTTCACATCCTGCTATTATGAAAGAACAGGGATCAAAATACTTCATACTCTCATTTTTTTCACCAACCCAAGTCTTATTTTGGCACCAGAATCCACACAAACAGGGCTGTTTTGCCCTCACTTACTTAGCATGATACATTTCCTTAATATGATGTAAGTGCCATAAATCTCTGCAGAAGCATCTGCTCTGGCCCCATGTGATGCTGACAGAGGACAAAGTGTGTGCATTTGCAATAAGGGCAGACTGTTCTCAGCAAGCATTTCATCCTTTGCTGTTGTTGTGTGATAAGGCCAAAACATAGCAACAGCTGGGCTGTGTTCAGCCACACAGGGGAATCAGGACTGTTGTGTGGAGAAGTCTTCACTGGTGTAACGGGATTAGGTGATACAAACATGCTGTGCTCATGCATAGCCAAATATTAAATAACACCGCTGTCCCGCATTTGAGGGGCCGAGCTGAGTGCTGTTGTCATGCTGCCATGGAGACAGTAACCATGCACAGGGTAATGTTTACAGAATGTTTAGCATATCCCAAAGCGGACACATAGGATGACTGGACTAGATTAATCTAATGTGGTGTGTGTGTTGTGGCAAAGCGAAACACCATACAACAGACTTTGTATACAGACAAAGTATTACAACACAGTAATGTTTCTGTAAGGGAGGTGGTTTAGTATTCCAAATTACATGTGTCTGTTCGTACTGTAACATATACCAGATATAGTTTTTAATAAATGAAGCACCAATAAACTCTTCACTTGGGAACAGTGTTGTTTGTTGTGTTGCTTGCTGAGAACAGTTGAAAAGGATGATCTCTTTCCTGGTAAGATTTCATAATACCAGCACCTGCCTGCATGCATCATAACACATACAAACGCAGGTTACAACTGATACTTGACAACCCTCAGTGAATCAAGGTTATGAGCAGTTTGGGAAGATAGATCTGCCAAGATAAGAGGCAGACAACTGACAAGACGATTTTCCATCTCAGCTGTTGGTGAGTCGGTGGTGCAGACAAGCTCAGATTGTCTGCACCCCAAATTGTTCCATAACTATTTGGAGAGTTATTTAAACTGTCCTCTTGCAAAATTAGACAACAGCAAAGTCTGCAGTCCAAAATTCAGGGTCTTTTAAAATGTGTAATCATATGAAAATAAGCTCATTGATTCCGGCATGTCAGTTATCACAGTAACTGAACATTCAAGTAGTAAAACAGGGATACAGGCTAGAATATGATTTTCATATGCCTTTTTTAGCAGTTCTAGTTGTGCAGCTCTACAGATGTCAGTGTCTGAAATATCTCAATAACTTCGATGCATTACATGCACAGAGAATGAATTCTGCTGACTCCAGTGATGCCCTGGATATTCCTCTAATGCCTCTGGCAGGTCAAAGAGTTTACTTTGTGAAATCAGTGAGTGAATACCAGTGTCCACCGTGCCACTGTGAACCAACACAGACCAACACTAAATAGTACATGAAATAACAGCTGTGAGTTTTATGATAAACTTAATTTTACCTTATTTCTATGTTGCTCTTTTTTCTTAATTCTTTGCACAGAATCATTATTTCTTAGTTCAGCATAATATCAGTTAATAATACAAAACAAAGTTTGATGTAAATGTAAAACATTTATTTGGTGAGGGTTTGCTGGTTGTGATAAAAT